AATATATTTATTATGAGCAAAAGACATAGGGTAACATTCAACAAGGACCACGCCTGCAAAACCAAGCCATGCCAACCGACCAACTCGAAGTATGGTGGAGAAGGTTTGTAGCTCAGAGAACAGCTCAGAGAACAAAACTCCATCAACATCACAACTCAAAGTATTTCGATTCATTGTTCCCGCCTCTTACATCGTTTGGTTTATCTCCGAATTAAATATTTAACATCTATTTCCCCAATTGTCTCGTGCTCAGCTTTGATGATTTTATATTTAGGGCCCAATGCCACTGAAATTATAACATGTACACAAGTTGTATGAAAACAATCAATAAAATATTAATTCAAAAACCCTTATCATTTTTAATTGTGGATGATATTCAAACAAAAGATCACCACAAGAACTCATTAGTAAGGCAAACTTTTTCCTCAAAAGTCTGCTTTTATCTCAATTATTATAACAAACGAAACTCATTAAATGATCACTGCAAACAAGTGAATTGAGAGGTTTCGGTTCCTAATCAAATTTCATAGAAAAGCAACAATAAGTAAGTTGAATCTCTTGAAATGAAATAGACAATATATTTGTCTAAAACATATGAAACAAAGGGAGGACGACGACTATGAGATTATTAAAAAACAATCATTCAACGACTTATTAGAGGAAACTAAACATCCAATAAAGTTGCAGTTCTACATATCATACCACTTTCTAGAGACTAAGCCTAAGCCCACTATTAACTCTTTATTAGTATTAATACAAACGATAGATGCTTCAAATACGTCTACTTACGAAACACATTAGGTCTTTTTATGTCATTTGTTTTCAGATATTGTACATCAACAGTATAAAAAAAAGTTGACAGGAAAATCATATACTGTACCCGTAAAGAGTATACAAACACCTAGTACAGTCAATAAACCTCTGTAAGAGCTTTGTGTGTCAAAGTTAATGTGAATATCCTGATAAGTTAAGCCGTCGAGATGTTTAAACTTTGTGATACATAAAAACCAAATATAAAGTAATTTGATTTCTGGATAAGCTTTCAAAAGTGAAGTAAGTCACAATCAAAAAAGTATGACAGATACAAGCTATAAAACTGTGTAAGTTACCACTTAGAAGTTCTTTCAAACATAGATTATGTATATGGAGCTCAACGGTTTAAACAGAACTTCCATTCACCAAATACAGTCTTAACATCGATCAACATCTGTCTAGTATCTCTATCACTAATACAAGTAATTTTCAAAGCCTTGTATGCGGACCGACGCTTAGTTATCAAATACCGCTGGATATTGCATTGACTAAGCACTAATGATATTTGAATTAATTGATTTCTTATGTACATGATTCCGCAGCTGATTTGATTTCCAAATACAATACTTCCAGTATATGTGTGACCAGATTGTTCGAAATGTATAGCGCTAATACATCACATTTTTCAGATCAACTCCGTCTTCTCATTGTTCTGTCGAAACTTCCAGTTACGCCATGTTCTCTTTAACTTTGATACTCCCAGCCATAATGAACTCATTATTACCGATTAGCACACTGGGGTCGTGGCGGAGTCAGCTTTTGAACAGTTGGACATTCAAGTGAGGCTTTTGAAGACTATATCGGACGAGAACCGGTGCTTTCAACGTGGTATGGTCGCCGACTATATGGAGTAGTTTTAAATCTAGCTCGTGATTAGAAAATGTACTAAGGATAATAAAAACTCAACCCATTTCATGATATTCATTGGTAACGACGCGTATAACTTGTCGAAGAATCTGGTTTTTCTACACAATCCAATTTATTTCCACATAAAATCCTCAAGAAATTACTCAGTCATGTGCAGTGTGCCAGCTTTGAATGCAGAAAAAGATCAAAATTTTATAAAACTTTGAGATAGAATGACCAGAATGTCAGATATTTTATACATAGACTACAGAAAAAGGCTGCGAATGATAATAATGGCGACCAATTGGGTATCCAACTTTGTGATTGATTGATTCCTGAGATAAATATTCAGAATTAGAAAATAGAGCTAGTTCAAACATCTGAGAGCTCAATTCAGAAAATTAAAGGAGCGCACATTAATTATAAGGCCGTGAATGAGCCTGATTTCCAATCAGTGTATGTTTCTAATACTTAGCTCAGTTGTCATGACGAATTACATCCTCAAGGCCGTCCAAGTTTGTGTTTAATCAAGCATAATTCTCATTCTTGTGTTAATACAAGAAATAATTCAAAAAAGATTTTTAAAGCAACATATTAGGGTGAGCACAAGTTTGGTAAATTTTTGTCTTGTGGTAAACTGTATTTTTGGAAATCATGTCCACCTCACGATGCTTAATGCTTTAAGTGTGACGAAGTCAAACATAGCAGGTTGATGTGCATAACTACTGGTGATATTAAACCCTGTTATTCGGGTTCAGATCATTCTCATATTCACATGGTACCATTATTAACAACTTGGAGTAATTCACTTCCCATTCGAAAACGATTATATCCGTGTAGTGGTTCGTTTCGTGATTTTATTGTCGATACTGGCAGTACCAAGCACATCATCTCAGTCGGAACGTTTGAGTCATTAAATTCCAATGCTATAATTAAACCTACTGGAGTTTCTACGTCAAGTATTATTGGTCATAAACTTCCTATTCTTGGATGTTGTAACTTTCCGATCGGAGATGATAAATCTTCAGCCATAACCTGTGGATTCCTTATCACTGATCATGGACTATTTATTCTGGGGCTTGAATATTTAATAAGGCACCAAGGACAACTTTCCTCATTGACCACTGAAGGCAGTTCTGGTGGAGTCTGATAACTCGTTGACTACAGAATCGAAAACGAAAATTTGCACATAACTCTACAACCTGTCTATTCTAATGCTCAAGCACAAAATGTCAGTTGCTTGAGTACTGAATTTAATCCTAACACTGCTAAGAAATTCAAAGACCAGAGAGGAGATTAGGTGAAATCTTTAAGTCCATAAATCCTAAATCGTATACAAAAGAAACAATGACAAAATTGTTTAGAAAGAAAAATGCTCTTCCGAATACTGAGTGTTTATAGTCTTCTGACATTAACTACTATCAAGAAGCTGATCCTCGACAACTCACGAAAGGTCTGCTTAAGAATGTTGGTAAGTCTATGATTTGTATGCATGTCAGTCACATCAACGGAATATTCTTCAAGGAGCCAGGTGAGTCAGTTTGGGTTTCCATTGCAAACACCAATACCAATGAGTTTTTCCTAAATAATACTATACCTAACCCCAAAAATTACTTTAAGATGAGTTCAATCAATCTGAACAGAAGACGTACAAAAAACTACGGAAGGCACAACATCCATTTAAGCTGTGGCAGTCGTGATATTTGTACTAATTGACGATTTCCTTTGTACATGATTCCGCAGCTGATTTGATTTCCAAATACAATACTTCCAGTTATGGTCACTGTGCGCGCTAAGACTTTGATACTGCTATATACGGGACTCGTAACCATACCAAATTAATTATAACCGATTATCACAACATTTCATACAGCTACCAGGAGCTTCATTTCATAACATTTTAAAATTCAAATACCGAATATATGTACTCTTTTGCAATAAACCACTCAACGAATCAAATTCTTTCTTAGGACGCTGTTAAGTTTGTTAGAAACATTAAGTCAACAGGATTTTAAGCTCCATAAGTGACAAGTCTTCTAAAACTTAAAGAGACTCGCTTGGATAATTGAATGACTTTTACTACACAATTAATTTGTAATATTACAAAAGTCAGTCGGTTAATTTTATAACCTATCCACCAATATGGCACATGAAAGTCACGGGTTATTGAAGAATTCATAAAATATAGCAGGATACTTAGTGACTTTAGAAGCTGTTTTTTAACAAAAAGTGCAGATAATTTAACCTTCATCTAATAGTGGGTGAATAAACGGTGGACAGAATAGTCACACCTTCAACTTTAGCTTACATATATTTATCTGGACTTCAAAACACAAATTTTTTATGATTGTGATATGTTGTTTATGGTTACCTTCATTTGGTACGGCTACGTACTCCTTTCGAAGAACGAATATTAGGATGCTACTAAGCATAAACTTGTCACGACCTCCTGACTAGTAGGTTTTTAGATATTGGGACAAACTTACCACATACCTGTCCGCCTGGAAATGTCAGTTGATTCCTCATCTACATCAAGACTGATCGTACGACAAACAAAAAGCTTTTTAGTGCGTACAGATTATTACATCAGACATCCAACAAAAATATACCCAGACAGACAGGTATGTGATGAAAATCTCAGTAGAGAACAAAAAAGGTCGAATAGCGAAACGAAAGGCAAGATAACCTAATGTTCACAGCTCAGAAGCAAATAAAAAAATTTGTCCATCTGCCTCACTGTCATACATCAAGAATTGTACTGTCCTCAACAATTGTTTACAACTGCCTACATAAAGCCAACCAGTCTGCATCTAACGCGACTCAAATAAGCACTCAATAACAAGGGTTTCATATCTAAGTTTAGCAATCCTTAGCTGTTTTACAACTCTACTCCAAATAACATACTAAGTTGAGGAACGTGAGTGTTAACCATATCTCATTATGAACACTTATTAATAAAACCTACGCTTGTTCACTTTTTATGGACATGCTTTATAACCGTAAACGTCTGGGTAGGATACCTTTTTTGTTGTGCTAAATTTGACAAGTAAATGCAAGCTCCATATGCTCCGACCAAAGGTCAAAAATAACCTACATCTAACAACTCTCCACGCAATCTACGTCCATCAGTCTTACAAATCCTGAATGAAAACCTGAGGTGTTGATTTACTATCGTACCACTGCAATACAAATACGAGGATAAAATTAGTCCCAGATGGTTTTTTGCAAAAAGTATCCACATTCGCAACAAAAAATATATTTGGAAGCACTCGGGGAATAAAACGAAAGATATCGGAATTGTGTTATGTACATAATAGAAGATTCATAAAAGTTTAATCAGTTTATTTTACTCGTCGATCTTCAAGTTTGTCCAGGGAGAAATATAACCTGCTAAGAAGGCAAAAGTATCCACAAGGCACAATGGTCTGAAGGCAATAAAAATTAAGCAATTACTCTGTTCTTACTGCACTGTAATCTTTTAAGGCGACCTGACAATATGTTGTGAGCAGCATAAGAGCCATAATTCCCAGACAAGCGAATTTCTTGAACGATACATGTCCAACAACCAACGTAGTGCCTAGTAATAGTTCGAAAACTCCCATAGACTGCATGTAGATTTGAGGACTAGGTATCACTCCAATATGCCTTAGTGGTGATACTTCAGTGAAATTCTTGAATGTCTTTAACTATGGTTACGAAAACATATTCCAATAAATCAAAGAAGCTTACCATTTCCCGGTAAAGTGTTGTATTCAAGCGCACTGTCTTTACTATACCAGGCAGTATGAACAGCAGTCCGAGAACTACAGTTGACACATGGGTAGCAAGATGTGATGCCATTCTGGAGTCTTGTAACGTAAAAACGAGTAGTAATATTCTGATATGAAGATTTACAGATTTCAAAAGTTATTTTAAAATGTAAAAACACTAGACAACTGTTTTTGAACGACGGTAGGATGTGAAAGACTAGTGAAAAACATTCTACATATGATAAATTAGCTCTTGCTGAAGCAACCAAGTGACTAAGTAATATAAGAGAAGTTATTGATAAAACCTACGCTTGTTCACTTTTTATGGACATGCTTTATAACCGTAAACGTCTAGGTAGGATACCTTTTTTGTTGTGCTAAATTTGACAAGTAAATGCAAGCTCCATATGCTCCGAACAAAAGTCAAAATCAACCTATTATGGTATCTTTAATACTTTTCCTAGCATATTTCATTGCATTGCACTTGGAAACCTTGTATGTACATTTGTGCAAACTGTCTCCTTTGCGTACTTATCTTTTATTTGACGACTCAATGACTCCACACAATTATTCGTGTTGTCGCCGTCAGTTAAAACACTTTCCATTGAACGCTTTGGCCCACATATATTTACGAGACATCCAAAGTCCGTGCAGATGCTGATCGAATCGTCTGTCTTTTTGGTTAATAATTCTGAATTATTGAATAAATCTACAGGATAAATAAATTTCACGCAATACCTTCCAATAGTTTTCGCTGTTACCAATCTACTGACGTGCGTTCTCAAGATTTTGTTGCGAGTGTAGAGACAACTTAATTAAAATCGCGACTGGCATAACTTTTTACGGAAAGCGCGACATACGCGAAATGCTCACAAAATTATGCTTGCAGTACTGTGTGTAATACTGACAGCCGCACTTTCCGCTCGTGAGCAATTCATAGCAAATGTTTACGTTTTTGACGTATTCCCGATTAATTCCCTGGATTTATCCAGAATCCACATTACTTCTGCTCGCCATTCTTTTTGCCTCCATGCAAACAGTACAAGACGCCCTCGTCCAAAATTACGGGTTATTATCAACTAGAATAACGAATATCTACGAAGTAAAACTTAACAAAAAGCGTAATCACTTTTTTATTATTGGTATTGTAAATAGAATCAATACAAACAACTTCTGGATATTTGTTATATAATTGTACCTGCTCATAAGTACTAAAGAAGATTCTGGTGACATATTCATTTTCTGTATATTCACTCACTTCACCGTTTCGCCGTAACATATCGATTACTTGCATTCGCGTATTACAACCTGAAATACACTTCTATACATTTGCCTATGGAGAGTCGAGCTTTTACAGTTTTCACATTAGCAGTAACCTGCTTTCGATCCTTAATATTTTCTCTTAACTCATCTGTTGATTGTGATTGCAATATCACCGGCTTCATATTTCCTTTTTCTTCTGACGACAATCTTCTGGTCCATGGATCACAAACCATCCATGAGCTACTACAAGGATGATTGTGAAGCGTGTTGTATGATTTTATGACATATTCTTCACCTTCCGATCTCACACGGAACCTTGATTGGCAGTTTAGGAACTTAAACCTTAAACGTCACGTGTTAGTTAATTTTTCACTGTTTTTTGTTTCACTGTTATACCTTTTGGACCAAATGTGCAATGAAACACCACAAAAATGTATTTAAATCTCATGTCCTTCAGCAGTTTACTTCCGGTGTGAATGTAATGAGCATGGGTAGTCTGACAAGGGATAAAATTATTCTTCCACACGTTTTGGAATTCCGTTAGTGCACTATCGAATTCAGTCCAGCTTCCGAAACGCCTGTTCAGTATTATACGTCGAAACGCTTCGCTTACGTCGACTGAAATATCACTTGAACATGAAGCACTGCAAACGGCAGAGTAATTATTAAAAAGTTATTCTTTGCAATAATATTTTATTAACTGAAGGATGTACTACAAACATCTAGGATTTACCTGTTACTTGACATTTCGTCTTAACCTTTGCGTAAAACAACGATTCACACAAACTTTCCGTATCTATAACTGTCAAGTTATTCTTATCTTTGTTAGGTTGTTTTCTGAACCTCATGAAAAAATTAAACAAAGGCGGTGGGGTTCACTAGAGCAATTGGAATCCCAGATCAACTTACGAAGCAACGATAGTCAACGTGTACACTACAAAACAGAGAAAGCTAAGTTAATACTTTCGGCGGTTATTTTGGGCTTTTTGCCGTGGTAAAAGACGACTTAAACAAGGGAAAACCTAATATTAGTGCAACCTAACAAACCCACGGTAATTGAAATACGGAATGACCGCCTCTCGTCATACCTTTCAAGGTCATTGAGACAAAACAGCGGGCGGCTAATAAAGGGTCTGACGTTTTTACCGTGTTCTTACTGTGCCTTAAGTCTCTCCTCAATAAAGATATTTCCCTAAAAGTAGCTTATGACAGTAGGGGAAATTTGTACACAGAATACTCGCCGTTGTTTCCCCTGCTTCGTTTAGTTTCCCTTTTTATTAGCTCGGATGGATTTTCATATCTTTTTAATCTCCAGACTTGGCTTCTCTCCATGGTCGTTAAGGATTCTGTAGTTTACTCCATAGCCAGTGAAAGTCTCTGGCTATTCAGTCGAACTTTCCCCATTATCAACAACAGAAGTTTCCCACAGGTCGTCCATAAATTGTGTTTCATGAAATGGGTGACTGGTCGGTGAGAATAAACGATGTGGTGTTAATTTTTGGGTAAGATAGACAATTTGACGTCAATTTAAGGGGATAGTAGACAATTGTATGCGAATTTCGGGAAAGCAAGTGTCAATTTCGAGACATTTTTCCTCACTGGGTAAAATACGCACTATTTCCCTCGGACCTGGGGAGAAGACGATATTTAGGTGCATTATCGCTTCTATTTACACCAACTTCACCTAAGAATTCGCCCAAAAGTTCGTTTTTGTTCCCCCTATCTTGTTCTTCTGGGGAAATCTTACTGATAATGTTTAATTGCAACAATCAGAAGTACTAGTTTATGCGTCAGAAAAATTACTGATTGGGACATCTGCACATGTTTCAAATTTTATGCTTTGTAGTGTATATGTTTTCAGAATAGGCTCCCAGTACTCAATAATGGTTAGCTTAGCATTTTGATCTTCGAAACAACCTTAGGTTAATATTCTGACTATCAGTAAAAAATCTTATCAGATAATGTCATCCCAGCACGCAACTGATAAAATGATGTTTATCAAGTTTAGTACAAAGAAACTAATAATCTTGTCAAAAATGTTGTACTTCCAACCATTTGCCTGCTTTTGGAATCAGTATTTTGCAGTTATCAGGTCGAAACATACTGGTTTCGGAGTCAAAGATATAACTTAGTGTTAACTATACCACTGCTACTATGATGTCTGTACACGGAATTTTGTCTGTTGATCAATCAGTAATCCAAGGAATTTAGTACTTAAACTTTTATAGACCATGACATCCTTCATAAATTTCGGAGTATACATAGCCGACATTTCAATAAACATTACACACCGGCTGCTCTAGAGAACTTACATAACGAGAGACTATTTGTCAAGCTCAGAAATCTCCCATAGTTTTTAACTGTCTTACTGGTAGTTTTGCACAGTTTAGGGAATACCATCATTTTACTGAATTTATATTCGTTTATAACTGTTCATTCTAACTCCACTCGTCGGACTTAATTTTGCATATCTAGTACCTTCATAACATCTCGTGATCTAAAAACGTTTGTTTTCAAGTGAAATAATAGTGAAAACTTATTTTGGATACTTATCAGTATAAACTGGTAATTCACTTCAAGACCTATATATGCCTCACATTTATAATGCTCATCTAGACATAAATTGACGATTATACAAACTAAGATACTTCTCCCTGGATGTTGGATTGTGTGCTGATCTAAACTAACCCAGATTCATACTAGTTTATTGATTGCCCGGTTACTTTACATGTAATTCTGAGAGTTAGGGATAATATCAATAAGGAATCCGTAAATATTACTTTTTAGGCATTGTTAACCCTTCTGAAAACAGACTGAATACAACTTCTCTTATATTACTTAGTCACTTGGTTGCTTCAGCAAGAGCTAATTTATCATATGTAGAATGTTTTTCACTAGTCTTTCACATCCTACCGTCGTTCAAAAACAGTTGTCTAGTGTTTTTACATTTTAAAATAACTTTTGAAATCTGTAAATCTTCATATCAGAATATTACTACTCGTTTTTACGTTACAAGACTCCAGAATGGCATCACATCTTGCTACCCATGTGTCAACTGTAGTTCTCGGACTGCTGTTCATACTGCCTGGTATAGTAAAGACAGTGCGCTTGAATACAACACTTTACCGGGAAATGGTAAGCTTCTTTGATTTATTGGAATATGTTTTCGTAACCATAGTTAAAGACATTCAAGAATTTCACTGAAGTATCACCACTAAGGCATATTGGAGTGATACCTAGTCCTCAAATCTACATGCAGTCTATGGGAGTTTTCGAACTATTACTAGGCACTACGTTGGTTGTTGGACATGTATCGTTCAAGAAATTCGCTTGTCTGGGAATTATGGCTCTTATGCTGCTCACAACATATTGTCAGGTCGCCTTAAAAGATTACAGTGCAGTAAGAACAGAGTAATTGCTTAATTTTTATTGCCTTCAGACCATTGTGCCTTGTGGATACTTTTGCCTTCTTAGCAGGTTATATTTCTCCCTGGACAAACTTGAAGATCGACGAGTAAAATAAACTGATTAAACTTTTATGAATCTTCTATTATGTACATAACACAATTCCGATATCTTTCGTTTTATTCCCCGAGTGCTTCCAAATATATTTTTTGTTGCGAATGTGGATACTTTTTGCAAAAAACCATCTGGGACTAATTTTATCCTCGTATTTGTATTGCAGTGGTACGATAGTAAATCAACACCTCAGGTTTTCATTCAGGATTTGTAAGACTGATGGACGTAGATTGCGTGGAGAGTTGTTAGATGTAGGTTATTTTTGACCTTTGGTCGGAGCATATGGAGCTTGCATTTACTTGTCAAATTTAGCACAACAAAAAAGGTATCCTACCCAGACGTTTACGGTTATAAAGCATGTCCATAAAAAGTGAACAAGCGTAGGTTTTATTAATAAGTGTTCATAATGAGATATGGTTAACACTCACGTTCCTCAACTTAGTATGTTATTTGGAGTAGAGTTGTAAAACAGCTAAGGATTGCTAAACTTAGATATGAAACCCTTGTTATTGAGTGCTTATTTGAGTCGCGTTAGATGCAGACTGGTTGGCTTTATGTAGGCAGTTGTAAACAATTGTTGAGGACAGTACAATTCTTGATGTATGACAGTGAGGCAGATGGACAAATTTTTTTATTTGCTTCTGAGCTGTGAACATTAGGTTATCTTGCCTTTCGTTTCGCTATTCGACCTTTTTTGTTCTCTACTGAGATTTTCATCACATACCTGTCTGTCTGGGTATATTTTTGTTGGATGTCTGATGTAATAATCTGTACGCACTAAAAAGCTTTTTGTTTGTCGTACGATCAGTCTTGATGTAGATGAGGAATCAACTGACATTTCCAGGCGGACAGGTATGTGGTAAGTTTGTCCCAATATCTAAAAACCTACTAGTCAGGAGGTCGTGACAAGTTTATGCTTAGTAGCATCCTAATATTCGTTCTTCGAAAGGAGTACGTAGCCGTACCAAATGAAGGTAACCATAAACAACATATCACAATCATAAAAAATTTGTGTTTTGAAGTCCAGATAAATATATGTAAGCTAAAGTTGAAGGTGTGACTATTCTGTCCACCGTTTATTCACCCACTATTAGATGAAGGTTAAATTATCTGCACTTTTTGTTAAAAAACAGCTTCTAAAGTCACTAAGTATCCTGCTATATTTTATGAATTCTTCAATAACCCGTGACTTTCATGTGCCATATTGGTGGATAGGTTATAAAATTAACCGACTGACTTTTGTAATATTACAAATTAATTGTGTAGTAAAAGTCATTCAATTATCCAAGCGAGTCTCTTTAAGTTTTAGAAGACTTGTCACTTATGGAGCTTAAAATCCTGTTGACTTAATGTTTCTAACAAACTTAACAGCGTCCTAAGAAAGAATTTGATTCGTTGAGTGGTTTATTGCAAAAGAGTACATATATTCGGTATTTGAATTTTAAAATGTTATGAAATGAAGCTCCTGGTAGCTGTATGAAGTGTTGTGATAATCGGTTATAATTAATTTGGTATGGTTACGAGTCCCGTATATAGCAGTATCAAAGTCTTAGCGCGCACAGTGACCATAACTGGAAGTATTGTATTTGGAAATCAAATCAGCTGCGGAATCATGTACAAAGGAAATCGTCAATTAGTACAAATATCACGACTGCCACAGCTTAAATGGATGTTGGGCCTTCCGTAGTTTTTTGTACGTCTTCTGTTCAGATTGATTGAACTCATCTTAAAGTAATTTTTGGGGTTAGGTATAGTATTATTTAGGAAAAACTCATTGGTATTGGTGTTTGCAATGGAAACCCAAACTGACTCACCTGGCTCCTTGAAGAATATTCCGTTGATGTGACTGACATGCATACAAATCATAGACTTACCAACATTCTTAAGCAGACCTTTCGTGAGTTGTCGAGGATCAGCTTCTTGATAGTAGTTAATGTCAGAAGACTATAAACACTCAGTATTCGGAAGAGCATTTTTCTTTCTAAACAATTTTGTCATTGTTTCTTTTGTATACGATTTAGGATTTATGGACTTAAAGATTTCACCTAATCTCCTCTCTGGTCTTTGAATTTCTTAGCAGTGTTAGGATTAAATTCAGTACTCAAGCAACTGACATTTTGTGCTTGAGCATTAGAATAGACAGGTTGTAGAGTTATGTGCAAATTTTCGTTTTCGATTCTGTAGTCAACGAGTTATCAGACTCCACCAGAACTGCCTTCAGTGGTCAATGAGGAAAGTTGTCCTTGGTGCCTTATTAAATATTCAAGCCCCAGAATAAATAGTCCATGATCAGTGATAAGGAATCCACAGGTTATGGCTGAAGATTTATCATCTCCGATCGGAAAGTTACAACATCCAAGAATAGGAAGTTTATGACCAATAATACTTGACGTAGAAACTCCAGTAGGTTTAATTATAGCATTGGAATTTAATGACTCAAACGTTCCGACTGAGATGATGTGCTTGGTACTGCCAGTATCGACAATAAAATCACGAAACGAACCACTACACGGATATAATCGTTTTCGAATGGGAAGTGAATTACTCCAAGTTGTTAATAATGGTACCATGTGAATATGAGAATGATCTGAACCCGAATAACAGGGTTTAATATCACCAGTAGTTATGCACATCAACCTGCTATGTTTGACTTCGTCACACTTAAAGCATTAAGCATCGTGAGGTGGACATGATTTCCAAAAATACAGTTTACCACAAGACAAAAATTTACCAAACTTCATAATTTTCGGAGTATACATAGCCGACATTTCAATAAACATTACACACCGGCTGCTCTAGAAAACTTACATAACGAGAGACTATTTGTCAAGCTCAGAAATCTCCCATAGTTTTTAACTGTCTTACTGGTAGTTTTGCACAGTTTAGGGAATACCATCATTTTACTGAATTTATATTCGTTTATAACTGTTCATTCTAACTCCACTCGTCGGACTTAATTTTGCATATCTAGTACCTTCATAACATCTCGTGATCTAAAAACGTTTGTTTTCAAGTGAAATAATAGTGAAAACTTATTTTGGATACTTATCAGTATAAACTGGTAATTCACTTCAAGACCTATATATGCCTCACATTTATAATGCTCATCTAGACATAAATTGACGATTATACAAACTAAGATACTTCTCCCTGGATGTTGGATTGTGTGCTGATCTAAACTAACCCAGATTCATACTAGTTTATTGATTGCCCGGTTACTTTACATGTAATTCTGAGAGTTAGGGATAATATCAATAAGGAATCCGTAAATATTACTTTTTAGGCATTGTTAACCCTTCTGAAAACAGACTGAATACAACTTCTCTTATATTACTTAGTCACTTGGTTGCTTCAGCAAGAGCTAATTTATCATATGTAGAATGTTTTTCACTAGTCTTTCACATCCTACCGTCGTTCAAAAACAGTTGTCTAGTGTTTTTACATTTTAAAATAACTTTTGAAATCTGTAAATCTTCATATCAGAATATTACTACTCGTTTTTACGTTACAAGACTCCAGAATGGCATCACATCTTGCTACCCATGTGTCAACTGTAGTTCTCGGACTGCTGTTCATACTGCCTGGTATAGTAAAGACAGTGCGCTTGAATACAACACTTTACCGGGAAATGGTAAGCTTCTTTGATTTATTGGAATATGTTTTCGTAACCATAGTTAAAGACATTCAAGAATTTCACTGAAGTATCACCACTAAGGCATATTGGAGTGATACCTAGTCCTCAAATCTACATGCAGTCTATGGGAGTTTTCGAACTATTACTAGGCACTACGTTGGTTGTTGGACATGTATCGTTCAAGAAATTCGCTTGTCTGGGAATTATGGCTCTTATGCTGCTCACAACATATTGTCAGGTCGCCTTAAAAGATTACAGTGCAGTAAGAACAGAGTAATTGCTTAATTTTTATTGCCTTCAGACCATTGTGCCTTGTGGATACTTTTGCCTTCTTAGCAGGTTATATTTCTCCCTGGACAAACTTGAAGATCGACGAGTAAAATAAACTGATTAAACTTTTATGAATCTTCTATTATGTACATAACACAATTCCGATATCTTTCGTTTTATTCCCCGAGTGCTTCCAAATATATTTTTTGTTGCGAATGTGGATACTTTTTGCAAAAAACCATCTGGGACTAATTTTATCCTCGTATTTGTATTGCAGTGGTACGATAGTAAATCAACACCTCAGGTTTTCATTCAGGATTTGTAAGACTGATGGACGTAGATTGCGTGGAGAGTTGTTAGATGTAGGTTATTTTTGACCTTTGGTCGGAGCATATGGAGCTTGCATTTACTTGTCAAATTTAGCACAACAAAAAAGGTATCCTACCCAGACGTTTACGGTTATAAAGCATGTCCATAAAAAGTGAACAAGCGTAGGTTTTATTAATAAGTGTTCATAATGAGATATGGTTAACACTCACGTTCCTCAACTTAGTATGTTATTTGGAGTAGAGTTGTAAAACAGCTAAGGATTGCTAAACTTAGATATGAAACCCTTGTTATTGAGTGCTTATTTGAGTCGCGTTAGATGCAGACTGGTTGGCTTTATGTAGGCAGTTGTAAACAATTGTTGAGGACAGTACAATTCTTGATGTATGACAGTGAGGCAGATGGACAAATTTTTTTATTTGCTTCTGAGCTGTGAACATTAGGTTATCTTGCCTTTCGTTTCGCTATTCGACCTTTTTTGTTCTCTACTGAGATTTTCATCACATACCTGTCTGTCTGGGTATATTTTTGTTGGATGTCTGATGTAATAATCTGTACGCACTAAAAAGCTTTTTGTTTGTCGTACGATCAGTCTTGATGTAGATGAGGAATCAACTGACATTTCCAGGCGGACAGGTATGTGGTAAGTTTGTCCCAATATCTAAAAACCTACTAGTCAGGAGGTCGTGACAAGTTTATGCTTAGTAGCATCCTAATATTCGTTCTTCGAAAGGAGTACGTAGCCGTACCAAATGAAGGTAACCATAAACAACATATCACAATCATAAAAAATTTGTGTTTTGAAGTCCAGATAAATATATGTAAGCTAAAGTTGAAGGTGTGACTATTCTGTCCACCGTTTATTCACCCACTATTAGATGAAGGTTAAATTATCTGCACTTTTTGTTAAAAAACAGCTTCTAAAGTCACTAAGTATCCTGCTATATTTTATGAATTCTTCAATAACCCGTGACTTTCATGTGCCATATTGGTGGATAGGTTATAAAATTAACCGACTGACTTTTGTAATATTACAAATTAATTGTGTAGTAAAAGTCATTCAATTATCCAAGCGAGTCTCTTTAAGTTTTAGAAGACTTGTCACTTATGGAGCTTAAAATCCTGTTGACTTAATGTTTCTAACAAACTTAACAGCGTCCTAAGAAAGAATTTGATTCGTTGAGTGGTTTATTGCAAAAGAGTACATATATTCGGTATTTGAATTTTAAAATGTTATGAAATGAAGCTCCTGGTAGCTGTATGAAGTGTTGTGATAATCGGTTATAATTAATTTGGTATGGTTACGAGTCCCGTATATAGCAGTATCAAAGTCTTAGCGCGCACAGTGACCATAACTGGAAGTATTGTATTTGGAAATCAAATCAGCTGCGGAATCATGTACAAAGGAAATCGTCAATTAGTACAAATATCACGACTGCCACAGCTTAAATGGATGTTGTGCCTTCCGTAGTTTTTTGTACGTCTTCTGTTCAGATTGATTGAACTCATCTTAAAGTAATTTTTGGGGTTAGGTATAGTATTATTTAGGAAAAACTCATTGGTATTGGTGTTTGCAATGGAAACCCAAACTGACTCACCTGGCTCCTTGAAGAATATTCCGTTGATGTGACTGACATGCATACAAATCATAGACTTACCAACATTCTTAAGCAGACCTTTCGTGAGTTGTCGAGGATCAGCTTCTTGATAGTAGTTAATGTCAGAAGACTATAAACACTCAGTATTCGGAAGAGCATTTTTCTTTCTAAACAATTTTGTCATTGTTTCTTTTGTATACGATTTAGGATTTATGGACTTAAAGATTTCACCTAATCTCCTCTCTGGTCTTTGAATTTCTTAGCAGTGTTAGGATTAAATTCAGTACTCAAGCAACTGACATTTTGTGCTTGAGCATTAGAATAGACAGGTTGTAGAGTTATGTGCAAATTTTCGTTTTCGATTCTGTAGTCAACGAGTTATCAGACTCCACCAGAACTGCCTTCAGTGGTCAATGAGGAAAGTTGTCCTTGGTGCCTTATTAAATATTCAAGCCCCAGAATAAATAGTCCATGATCAGTGATAAGGAATCCACAGGTTATGGCTGAAGATTTATCATCTCCGATCGGAAAGTTACAACATCCAAGAATAGGAAGTTTATGACCAATAATACTTGACGTAGAAACTCCAGTAGGTTTAATTATAGCATTGGAATTTAATGACTCAAACGTTCCGACTGAGATGATGTGCTTGGTACTGCCAGTATCGACAATAAAATCACGAAACGAACCACTACACGGATATAATCGTTTTCGAATGGGAAGTGAATTACTCCAAGTTGTTAATAATGGTACCATGTGAATATGAGAATGATCTGAACCCGAATAACAGGGTTTAATATCACCAGTAGTTATGCACATCAACCTGCTATGTTTGACTTCGTCACACTTAAAGCATTAAGCATCGTGAGGTGGACATGATTTCCAAAAATACAGTTTACCACAAGACAAAAATTTACCAAACTTGTCCTCACCCTAATATGTTGCTTTAAAAATCTTTTTTGAATTATTTCTTGTATTAACACAAGAATGAGAATTATGCTTGATTAAACACAAACTTGGACGGCCTTGAGGATGTAATTCGTCATGACAACTGAGCTAAGTATTAGAAACATACACTGATTGGAAATCAGGCTCATTCACGGCCTTATAATTAATGTGCGCTCCTTTAATTTTCTGAATTGAGCTCTCAGATGTTTGAACTAGCTCTATTTTCTAATTCTGAATATTTATCTCAGGAATCAATCAATCACAAAGTTGGATACCCAATTGGTCGCCATTATTATCATTCGCAGCCTTTTTCTGTAGTCTATGTATAAAATATCTGACATTCTGGTCATTCTATCTCAAAGTTTTATAAAATTTTGATCTTTTTCTGCATTCAAAGCTGGCACACTGCACATGACTGAGTAATTTCTTGAGGATTTTATGTGGAAATAAATTGGATTGTGTAGAAAAACCAGATTCTTCGACAAGTTATACGCGTCGTTACCAATGAATATCATGAAATGGGTTGAGTTTTTATTATCCTTAGTACATTTTCTAATCACGAGCTAGATTTAAAACTACTCCATATAGTCGGCGACCATACCACGTTGAAAGCACCGGTTCTCGTCCGATATAGTCTTCAAAAGCCTCACTTGAATGTCCAACTGTTCAAAAGCTGACTCCGCCACGACCCCAGTGTGCTAATCGGTAATAATGAGTTCATTATGGCTGGGAGTATCAAAGTTAAAGAGAACATGGCGTAACTGGAAGTTTCGACAGAACAATGAGAAGACGGAGTTGATCTGAAAAATGTGATGTATTAGCGCTATACATTTCGAACAATCTGGTCACACATATACTGGAAGTATTGTATTTGGAAATCAAATCAGCTGCGGAATCATGTACATAAGAAATCAATTAATTCAAATATCATTAGTGCTTAGTCAATGCAATATCCAGCGGTATTTGATAACTAAGCGTCGGTCCGCATACAAGGCTTTGAAAATTACTTGTATTAGTGATAGAGATACTAGACAGATGTTGATCGATGTTAAGACTGTATTTGGTGAATGGAAGTTCTGTTTAAACCGTTGAGCTCCATATACATAATCTATGTTTGAAAGAACTTCTAAGTGGTAACTTACACAGTTTTATAGCTTGTATCTGTCATACTTTTTTGATTGTGACTTACTTCACTTTTGAAAGCTTATCCAGAAATCAAATTACTTTATATTTGGTTTTTATGTATCACAAAGTTTAAACATCTCGACGGCTTAACTTATCAGGATATTCACATTAACTTTGACACACAAAGCTCTTACAGAGGTTTATTGACTGTACTAGGTGTTTGTATACTCTTTACGGGTACAGTATATGATTTTCCTGTCAACTTTTTTTTATACTGTTGATGTACAATATCTGAAAACAAATGACATAAAAAGACCTAATGTGTTTCGTAAGTAGACGTATTTGAAGCATCTATCGTTTGTATTAATACTAATAAAGAGTTAATAGTGGGCTTAGGCTTAGTCTCTAGAAAGTGGTATGATATGTAGAACTGCAACTTTATTGGATGTTTAGTTTCCTCTAATAAGTCGTTGAATGATTGTTTTTGGTATTCTCGTTGTGCTAGTTGCCTCTAATGTCTGGGTCTATTTGTTTCAAGGACTAGACCATTACGAAGTTGGTTACACAACCGTTTATGGAAATTACATTTGTAGGTTTGTGTCTAAAGACGCAAAATTAAAGCCTCTAATCTTCTGATTCGAACCATCATCTAATTTCTAGAAGCATGCCATTTTAAGGAGTTTCAATTAATGTAAACTCGAAATGACTTGTTACCAACAGCCTTAATTGAAGAGGAATAGTTTTTTCAGAATTTCAATTTTCCTAAATAGACTATACGCATCTCTTTAAAACAAATTAATGTAATTAGCAGAATGTTTTTATTCTTGAGATTGTTACATAAGCAGCAGGCATCTAAACATTCTTAATAGCCTGCAACATCTACACAGATGCGTTGAAATGTATCTTTTCAAGGCTACTGGAATTCATAAACTCAACGACACCAACTGTAGTAATCGAATGGTATTTAGAATTAATTATTGTGCAATTATACACTAACAAGATATAGTAATAAGATCTAAAGAAGTTCGAATTTGAGGTCACCAGAATTAAATGATGAAGAATTCTTAAAGCACATCTTAAATTCAAACTGACGGTAATAATACACTCAAAGAGTACATTTTAAAGTAGTTCAGAACGAAGTAACTTGAATAGCTTTGAATGTTCGTGGGTGGGTGTGAATTAATTAGAAAGGACATATGTTAGAACAACGGCGTGA